ATGGTCATGGTCATGGTCATGGTCATGGTCATGGTCATGGTCATGGTCATGGTCATGGTCATGGTCATGGTCATGGTCATGGTCATGGTCATGGTCATGGTCATGGTCATGGTCATGGTCATGGTCATGGTCATGGTCATGGTCATGGTCATGGTTATGGTCATGGTCATGGTCATGGTCATGGTCATTTTAAAAACATTATATACATTGCTGTTTCAAACCTAGGGGCAGCAACCCTAGTAAATTTATTAATTGAAACTATTTACAATTTGTTTCCCTTTGATCATTATAGTCTATATCTGTAACGTATTTGTTTCGTTTACATCAGCCATGGATGAAGTATTAACTATTAGTCATTATTTCACACCTATTTCAAAACAGTTTAGTTTATATTTTAAAGGAATTTTTCTTTTCCTTTGTTTTCTTTTGTGTACAGTCAAAGAACTGAGGAAATTAAAAGTTCATATTCTTGACGCAGTTTCTTCGCTTTATATTTTTAATATAACAATGACTCTAAAAATTATATATTTTAAATAATCAGTCTAGTTCACTTAAAACGCGTTTAATGAGATGCCCTAATTTTCCCGTAAGAATGAGAGTAAATATTTTGTCAAGTACAATTTCAGAGTACGTATCAGCTCCGACGACCCGAAATCACACAACAGTACGTGATATATATGCTGGTAGCCAAATGTTCATGGTGTAAGTATCCTCAATATTTAAAAAAAATAAGCCCCTTTTATAACATAATTTACAATGGTCATGCTCATTATCATGATCGTGGTCGGAGGTCGTGGCCGTGGTCGTGGTCGTGGTCGTGGTCGTGGTCATGGTAATGGTCATGGTCATGGTCATGGTCATGGTCATGGTCATGGTCAAGGTCATGGTCATGGTCATGGTCATGGTCATGGTCATGGTCATGGTCATGGTCATGGTCATGATCATTGTCATGGTCATGGTCATGGTCATGGTCATGGTCATGGTCGTGGTCATGGTCATGGTCAAGGTCATGGTCATGGTCATGGTCATCGTCATTGTCATGGTCAAGGTCATGGTCATGGTCATGGTCATGGTCATGGTCATGGTCATGGTCATGGTCATGGTCATGGTCATGGTCATGGTCATGGTCATGGTCATGGTCATGGTCATGGTCATGGTCATGGTCATGGTCATGGTCATGGTGGTCATGGTGGTCATGGTGGTCATGGTGTTCATGGTGGTCATGGTCATGGTCATGGTCATGGTCATGGTCATGGTCATGGTCATGGTCATGGTCATCGTCATGGTCATGGTCATGGTCATGGTCATGGTCATGGTCATGGTCATGGTCATGGTCATGGTCATGGTCATGGTCATGGTCATGGTCATGGTCATGGTCATGGTCATGGTCATGGTCATGGTCATGGTCATGGTCATGGTCATGGTCATGGTCATGGTCATGGTCATGGTCATGGTCATGGTCATGGTCATGGTCATGGTCATGGTCATGGTCATGGTCATGGTCATGGTCATGGTCATGGTCATGGTCATGGTCATGGTCATCTTCATGGTGATCTTCATGGTCATGGTCATGGTCATGGTCATGGTTATCTTCATGGTCATGGTCATTTTAAAAACATTATATACATTGCTGTTTCAAACCTAGGGGCAGCAACCCTAGTAAATTTATTAATTGACGCAGTTTCTTCGCTTTATATTTTTAATATAGCAAGAACCTATAAAAACTATATCTTTTAAATAATCAGTCTAGTTCACTTTAAACGCGTTAATGAGATGCCTCTAATTTTCCCGTAAGAATGAGAGTAAATATTTGTCAAGTACAATCTCATAGTACCTATCAGTTCCGATGACCCGAAATCGCTCAACCTAACTGAATTAGTGCTCAAGATATCTTGTTTACAGACACACACATAGGATCAGGATAGGAAAACTAGACTTTTCCGGCTCTGAAATGCTATAAAACGTCACAATTTGTCAAAATCTCGATTTAAATCTTTGAACGATTACATTACTTTCTTTATAATCAGTGGCGTACGAGAGAAAGTGTTTAGCTATTGACAAAATATATAAGTTTATTATTCTTACATGCCTCATGGTAGACCCTAAATACGATTTCACAAATTTAAGTTTTGAAAAACTCCTTACGTAGCTACACTACGACTTACACTAACGCTCATTGTTAAAAATGTGCAGACTGCTATGGTTAAGCCATCCATTTCAAAATGTTAGAAGGTTACCAATCGATAGCTTTTTTGTTAATTATTTCCTCAAAACTTGACGAATACTTCGGAATTCGTAAAACAAATTTTCTGCACAAATTTCGTCATAATGTTATAAGAGATTCTTGCATGCTGCAAAAATCTCATCGTTTTCAATAAATAAAAACGTTGTATTAATGTGTTGCAGCTGATAAGATCTTCGTTTATTTTCTGAGTGCAAACGAGCGATGATTTCTAGTTGTTCACGATGAATTCCTTGTAACCAAGTTAATCCAATATCGCTCGATTCCTCTCCAGGTATTTGCGTTTTCGTCAAATACGATGTTCTGTATTGCTTTTGTTGATGAAACAAAACTTCACAGCAGTTGTATGGGCCTTTTCAACTATATTGTTTCTTCTTGTTCAGTTTCTTCCAGACATCTACCCCCTCCCCCCTGAACAAAATGGAAATTATATTAAAAAAAAAACATACTTTTACCAGTGTCCACGCCCCCCCCCTTTGGAAAATATCCGCCCCCTCCCCCCTCCCCCCGAAAATATCAAGTGTAACCCCGGAGAAAAAAGTCTGGAAGAAACACTGTCCGAGAGCCTTCATTTTTGCTGCGCTAATATACAATCCTAATTCTTGTGCTTTTGCGTGTTGTAATGGGTTGCGCTTGTTTTTAAGAGAATCTATGATGCTTGATCTAATATACATGTTCCCCGCCCCTTAAAAAGTGCCAACCGAGCCCCCCCCCACCCCCTGTTGGTGCGACAGTGTATATGAAAAAGTAATTAGCATCTCCCTATACTACCCTATACAAGTACAACTGCAATTTTACATTTTTTTTATAAAAGATCTACTTTTGAGTTTCATGAATACTAATCATTTATTTAACCGTCGGATACATTTCGTCGAAACTGTTTGCAAGTCTCATCGTATAAATTTTTTCATTAAATCTTTCTATTATATCAACACTTTTACTATTAAAGAACAGTGTTAAAAGTAACTTCATCATCCTTTGTGGCCCCTGGGGAAAAAGGGCTGCAACCACACATCTCCAGCAATACCCAATTTACAGGAAAATAGACAGTATACTCAGAAAATGCACACTAAACTCAATAATGATTGGCATTGTTTGTAACGTTTTAGCTTTGTTTGTTATTTTATTATATTAACCCTTAAATGCATACCGCTACAGATCTGCAACGTACCAGTTACCTTCCCATAAAATATATAGCCTAAACATGTTTGATTCTATGCATCGCGTTTTTTTATTGCTACAATGTTAACTTACAACTTGGACATGTCTAAGTGACCTAGATTTGTTTTTGAAACTTTTGAATACTAAAAAGGGTACGACCTTTTAGACCTTGTAAAATTCTTACTAGTAATTATTTCTAAAAGTTGTTGTGACAAAAGTTTTAATATATACCGAAATATAAGCAGTTTAAATTTGATTGCTATAGGGGCATAAATAAAAAAGCCTTAGTATTATTAAAAGTACCGACAAATTAAAAATGGCGGAGGTTTTATGGGTTTCCATGACAACCAAAATTGTTTTCGACCCTATTTTTTGTTATCTAATACTTACTTTTATATGCCAAATATGATAAAAGTATTCAAAAGGCTTTAGATCTTAAACTGTAAAAAATAGAAAAAACCATAGCATATCCCCTTAAGAAATCAAAGGTGAATCAAGGTGAAGAATAATATGAAGTAGATTCTCTTGGTTATCCGGAGTATCTTCCTGGATCTCCAGGACCAGAGTGGACCCTCTATCTCCAAGACCAGTGTGGACCCTGGATCTCCTGGACCAGTGTGGACCCTAGATCTCCTGGACCAGTGTGGACCCTAGATATTCTGAACCAGTGTGGACCCTAGATATTCTGGACCAGTGTGGACCCTGGACCTCTAGGACCAGTGTGGACCCTGGATCTCCTGGACCAGTGTGGACCCTGGATCTCCTGGACCAGTGTGGACCCTGGATCTCCTGGACCAGTGCGGACCCTGGATCTCCTGGACCAGTGTGGACACTGGATCTCCTGGATCAGTGTAACCCTGGATCTCCGGGACCAGAGTGGATACTGGATATCCTGGACCAGTGTGGACCCTGGATCTCTTGGACCTGTGTGGACCGTAGATCTTCTGTACCAGTGTGGACACTAAGTCTCGTGGAATAGTGCAATGACAGGTGCAAATTCACATCAAGCTCAAACAGTTTGCCACAAGTGCAACATATATCTTTGTTGTAACAAGATCAACAACTGTCTTAAAAAGTATCACCTTACTACATAATGTTGCAGACATGCAACAATTCGTTTTTTAATTAAAGAACACGTTTAAACTACAATTATTTTTTACTTGACTATACTCTTTATATACCCATCAAAACAATATAAAAATATTTTTCAAGCATTTTTAAAAAGTCATGCATTTAAGGGCTAAATATTTTAAAGCAGTGACGAGAAAAGGCATAATCAACGTTTAAATAACAAGCTTGTATGTAATTACACACTAAAATGGAGAAAAAAAATATTTTTCTATTTACCTCAAGCAGACTCTGCCGAATATGAAGCCCCTGCCTAGCCGGCAAATGTAAAAAAAATTATTGGGAACTTTCTCTTATACAAGTATTGATAGAATAAAATCAATGAACAAATCCTTCAAAAACATTCTTTTATATACAAGTCACAAATGTTACGTAATATTAGTACTTAAAATTAACATAAATTACAAATATAATATTTTTTCAACCCAACTTTTCAATTTTATTAAATTAATTAAAATATTCTTAAATATCATTGGCAAATATATGATAATATCGTGTTGACGGTTTCTCTAGTAAGTTCGATTGGGGGATGGAACTTTGCATTTTCTATCGAAACCGTCATATCCCAACCGTCCAGGTAAAGCACCTTATGTTCCAGACCTCTAAACCTGTCCTTGATGACGTCAACAAACCTGGGGGCCAGCGTGTCCCCGCCCACGGCGTGATTAGCGCTCCAGTCAACCGTGGTAATGTGGGGTCCACGTACCACACACAGGACATTGGGGTTTCGCTTCAGTAGTCTTTCTACCGCCTCTCGTAGGGCTTTCATTCTCAGATACAGTACACTCATATGAGCAGGTATGTAATGCAGGTAGTAGTGAACGAATACAATGTGTTTACCTGTGCTGGTGATGTTGTCTATAACATCAGGCACGCTGCCTATATGGTGAGCTCGCATCAAATTTGCAAACTGCGGTTTCTCGTGCGACATGGCATTGATTTTAAATCCAAGATTTTTTATTTGACACCTTGATGATCTCGGCCAACCACCGGAGGTATCATTGCAGCCTGTGATGTTCAGAAAACCTGTGTAAGTTCTGTTCCCGTTGGAGTCGCCGATGATCCAGACAGTCGTGTTCTGTAAACATTGTTGAGCCCATTCTCTGGTCACGTCCTGTTTTTGTTTACAGACAAGCGAGTTCCATACAAGTCCCGGCGACCAGAACCCCTTGGGTCTAGACATGTTCCATGTTGCTGTTGTGTTCGACTTGTAGCAGAGAGGAAGATTTAATGGATTCCCTTTATAAGAAATACGTCAGGCAGTAATTTTATAAATTCAAATAACAATGTAATTAAAAATAACACACGCAAAAGTAGCGTATAAAATTAGTTTAGAAGTCATGACTGCTGGCAAGATTTTGTATTTCAATATTGAACTAGCAAGGACGGGGTAGACAGTAGAACGTAGACAGTTAACCCGAAAAACTAGAATAAGAAACCCGTTTCAAGTTAGAAGAAGGTCCATGAGTCCACTCAGTTCTTATGGGTAGGAACTCACGTTAGGAAAAGTAAATGCAGCTGTATTTACCTGTTGATAGAGTTAAAATCTTCAAATTGTGTTTAAGTAACGTCCTTGGTGCGTACCTAAATAGAATATAGAAATAAGTTTAAATTAAATTTTATTCCATGTGTATTCAGTTATAAATAAAATAACTTTGAATTAATTTCAAATATAAGTAGGCTTACAGCGTGAAGAAAACTGCTTCTGAAAAATAGGCGATGTAAAAAAGAACATTTGCAAAAGACTGTTAGGGAAACACAATGTTATTTTAATGCATTCATAATGCATTTTAAGTTATGCGTTAGGTATCTAGAAAGCATTTGCAAAGCAAAGAGACAAAACTACCTACTTAAGATTTTGTTTCATAAACGCGAACAATAGTGAAGTACAAAACTTATTACAATTAAATTTAACATAATTTAGGTTTTACCCAGTTGAGTTTCTGATAAGATCGTTTTCAGCTTCAGTTACGTCTAAAGGCAATGGCAAATAAAGTGTTCCTGTGTCTACCCAATCATCGCAAGTTAATCTGTTGAAAGAAACCTAAACAAATATGAGAGCGTACGTATAAATATAAGTGAATATGGGTTTTCGTCAGGATTTGCCTTCCTTATAGAAATGCATTGCACGCCTATTGTTAATATTATTACATAAATATTACAATATTAGATTTAAAGATTGTACAAGTTTATATTACATACAGGATCTGCAAGATTAAGCTAAATTTACAGATAGTAGGCCCTAAATACACTTTATTAAACGTGTTTTTTTTTTCAGACATCACTCAAAATAGTGATCTTTTTTTTTAAATTGAAAAGAATAAGTGAAAACACAATTATTTGAGATGCAAGTGCCTGTTTTGAAATTGTATTCTGTTTGAATTCTAGTTTTCTAATAAATGAAGAAATCGGTTCGGTTTTTGTGACATTTTGCTTCAAATAAAAGATCCCTTACTACAAAAAAAAAAAAACTTTAATAAATCAATTCTGTATCCCTAATTTTATGTAATAAGTGAATAATTTTTACTTAGCTGTATACCCAATATAAAAGGAGTCAGTTGTGTAGGCAGGGGTGGGATTAGAGGGTGTTACCACCCCCCCCCATGAATCCGTCTTTAAAGAAAATTTACTGTCATACTACAACTGTTACTTATTTAAATCTATTTCTCAATCTGTATGTATGTATAATTGAATATGTATGTCATCTAAAAACTGATGCTGTGTTCACTCTGAGTTGGTTCAACCCCCCCCCACCTCACCACTTAAAACGGGACAGGCCTTAATTGACCTAAAGTGACCGGACAGTGGTGAATGAAGTTGACCCCCTCCCCTAACCCACCCTGAACTGAACTGTTAAGTACATATGGGAAAACGCGTAATGATATACCAAAGTACCATGCCGCCAGAACAATAGCTTTTTAAACAGGTAAAACTCTGTCAATATTGTTTTTTGCAATTATACATTATCATTAAGTTATAAAATGATCTTTAAAGAACACAAAATACAGTAGCTAATTAAAAAATAAATGATCTGAACTGCCAGACCAATATATTATTTTTATGTAGGCTATTCAGAATGTTCCACCAATTAGAATTAGACTTTTCTATTTAATTGAAAAGTGTGATTATTTACCAACTCGGATTTAAAAAAAAACTTTCATTATGCTGTAATATATTAGCATTTATGATATATACAATTCTGATTGTAGACAATATATTTTTTTAAAAACGATTAGTTTTTAGCGGCTTTATTAAATACTAAAGTAATTATTGATCTGTTGTGACATTTACAATTAAATTTGTAGAAATATACATATTTATATTAAGAGAGTGCTTAATTCAGTTTTGCATTTTTGTCACTGTGGCTCTATGTGTGTTTGTAAATACTATAACTTGATTACCGTTTCAGTTAGTTAGACTATATTTAATATAAAATAAAATACTCCAATTTGTATTTTAAATAAACTTTTGAGCAATTAGCATCAATCAAATTACATGACATCGGAATATGTTTAAATAACGGCGACGAGTCGATAAAAGAATCTTTTTACCTGGGATTTATCGGACGGCCACAGTAGAACATGTTCTGGTGTTGGTATGTGATGTTGCACACACATGGACGTCCAGGAACATTCGGTGTTGACCAACATACAGTTACCTAAATATACAATGCATGTTTAGACTCGCTAGAACCCTATAGCATTCGTGTGGGGCAAGTAGCAATCGTAAGTTCTCTGTAACAATCTCCACCATGAATTGAATTTTAAAATGCTCCCAACCTAAGTCTCGTCCCAATGAGTGTTGTAAAAGAAGTCTGTTTTTTTATGTCATTGTATTAATTAATATTTTCTGAAATCATAAGAAGTATGGTGTCTTCCACTACTATTCCGCACTGTTATACGCGTAATATCTTTTTCATTTGGTGCACAATTGTTTTTAGTCATGCAACTTTATGTTATTACTAATTTTAAAGCACTGAAACAAAATGCATAAAATAACACGCTTTTATGTAATAATACACTAAAAGAGAGAAATAATTTATTTTATTGAGATATATAAATATACACAACTATTTAAATAACTATAAAGAAAAGCGTGGGTCTCATCTTCCTAAATATTGGTAAAGATATCCAATAGATAATCAGTGTATTATTACATTTAAAGAGAATAATTTATTTTCTCTTTTTAGTGCATTATTACATACACGCTTATTATTATCACATTGTTAAGGACTTTTTTTCTCAAAATGTCTTCTTATAAATGACTTCTTAAGCACCTTTTGCCTTTCTGTAACAAAAACTTTTAGTAAAAGTAATGTTATGTATTATGTTTTTTTTAATATGTACATAATGCTGTATAGTTTGCTAATTAAAAGACTACTCTAAAAAAACTTGTAATACTTCTTTCATGTCTTCATTGGCAAACGTCGCCCTTGTCATCCTGGAGACACCTAAATGGATCTGGTGCACCGCCACACGAAGAAATTCTCTTGGATACGACAACGCGATATACAACTGAAAATTTTGAAATTTTTATCGTAAAACAATTTAAATTTATATTAAAAAATATCTTTTGATTTGTATGGTAAAGGCGAGAGCAAAGTGTGTAGTGGCGGATTTACTAAGTAGCTCGGCCTCATTGGGACGAGACGGGGGGGGAGGAGGAGGGGCGGGGATACAGTTTATGGACCCAGAATTCTACCATAAATAAGCTCTGAAAATGTGTGTTCATTAACTTATTCAGCTTCTTGTTAGTATTTTTGTAAAAAACAATTACTACAGCAATTATTCTTCATAACATTCATCAGTATACGAACTGTTGTGTGAAAAAAAGGGAAACGTTCAAATTAATCGCTTGCGGTATTGATCTTCAAGAGCCTATTAGTTGTAGTCTAACAGGCGCTTAATTAGGATACGAACAGCACCATAGCATTAATTTAAATATTGAAAAAGGGGCCTATAACATTACCATAAATGAAAAATTAAAAGAGCCCATAGCACTCTTCTAAACGATCGTTTAAATGGTGAAATAAAGCCCCAAAAATCTTTTATTATAGTCGAAATTGGTCCATAACACTTTTTTACATTGAAGAAGTTGTGTGCCAAAAAAACGTCTATAATTAGTCAAAGAGGGGATTAATTAATAAAAAAAGTTTGTGAAGGATTGTTGGGGAAACTGTCTTAAAAATAAAATAAAAAAAGGTTGAAACACTTTTCACTGTTGAAAGGCAGCTGCTAGAGAAATCGCTAGTATTTAATCTTGTTATTTCCCATGTTATTATTTAATGTAATATATAAACATCGTAAATAAGAAATTATTTCAAACATGTATTGCCCGTATTTCAATTTTAGGCGAGTATGAAATGAGTTACAAAAAAAAAAGAATACAAAAATAAATGTTTTGATTCACCAATTTTTCTAAATGAATAATATCAGGCCTTCTATAAGCTTTGTACTTATTTTTTTGTAATTTGATACACTTTGCATTGAAATTGGATAAATTACTAAATTAGGAGACTGGCATATATATATATATATATATATATATATATATATATATATATATATATATATATATATATATATATATATATATATATTGTGGGAGCATTCTTTCTAGGTCAGCCACTTTGAAGTTTGTATAAAGCTGGTATACATACACTAGAGTTCCCTGGCCAAAGACAACGTATTGTAAACGAGTAACTTCCGTTCTTTAAATCTGTGACGTCACCAGAAGATGCGTACCCCTGGACGTCAGCGCTCTTGACCCACACCCGCACCTCGTCGTCACCCCGTGTCCTCCTGCGTCCATACCCGTCCACAAGATCCACCCGCCCACGTAGATATCCAAACATCTTACACGTCACCGTCCCATTGTGTACATTCTCCATTACAACTTTAGATAAACTTTTATCCGGTAGAGTTTTATAATCAAACAAGGGCGGGTAACTCAGAAGATGTTTTTCCCAGTCGAATACGTACTGTCCCCTTGAAAGGAATGGCGTAAACGGCATACGCCCCTCTTTGTTCAAGTCTTCCCATGCCGTGGCATTCATAGCGTTACAGTGTGGTTCTGTAGGATCACACGTATTGTTACAGCTGTCCGTAGTTCGTGCTCTGTGCTGGGCGAATGCCTGGTACACAGAAATTGGTCTTTTATCCCAAAAAGTTGGCGTTAAAGCCATTTCGTAGTGAATGTCTGCTGTACTGTGTGTTGGAACTGGAAGAACAACTACATCAACGGTTTGAGTATTCTGAATGCTTGTCACATTTGCTCTGTATTGAAGGGGTTGTACTATACTAAACACTGCAGATGGTGGTCCCATAATACTGTTAGGACAGAGATAAAGAACGAGTTTTAAATGTTCTTAATTTTGTAGAATATAAAGTTAGCAATAAAGATAAAAACTTCAATCCTCTTAAATCGTAAAAACAACATCTATTTTAAATATCTTTGCATTCTTGAACTAGTGGTTGCCAGTTACGTGCATACCCATAAAAAATGCATTGAGAAAAAATTGTCAGTCTTCACACCAAAGTTGTTGAATAGTTGTGTCTAAACAAACAAATTCAAACATACCAACTACATGTGATTGGTAATGAAGTAGACTACACAATTATTTATTTAGTAGCAACTAAAATACAAATATATCTGTATAGACCATTGTACGTTAGAAACGGATCATTTTCATTTTAAAAACTGATAATAGTCGAAAATAATATCCATGAACTATATTTTAAAACCCTTTATCTACTGACGGTACTTATAAGTACCACATAAATTAAGCGCCTGTATTATTTTAAATTTAAGACGAATTAAAAATTATTGATGCAATTAATAGTATCATATATCCTAGGTTACCGGTAAGTGGAGGGATCGATGTTTTTTAAAAACTTTTAGTGTGGCGCCATTTTTAATCTGTTGCTGTATCGGTAGTTCACAATCGTTCTATACAGATCTCATACGTGTTCCTGATTTCCCTTAGTTTAACCTTATTCTTTAAGTTTTCAACCCCAATTTTTTTTATTGGAATCTTCAATAGTCAGGTAAACGTGTCGAGTCGTTAAAACTCATGGTTGCTAAACCGAAAAGTCTCGAGTTCGAACCCTCGGGCAGATGATGCTCGTTAGCTGGGGACAGCCACTCTTCTAGGAGAGACAGCTCCAAAATTAAACAACTGCTGCCTTGTAGTTTGTTCTTGGTTGGACAAAGGCTATGGAAGCAAATCCAAAAAGAAAAGCAGGCAGAAATCGAGGTCAATGGCCTCAATGGCGCATAACCAGTTGACACGTAACGCTTAATTGTGTTGGAGGCGTGGTCGAGTCGGCAAAAAGCTCATGGTTGATAAATTCGTACAAAATCTCTAGTTCAAACACACTGGCAGATAAACCTCGATCCCCTTCAACACTAATAATTAAGAACGAAGAAGAAGAATAAGAGGTAAATGTGTTTAACTTCTAGTTATAAAATTTCAATCATGTTGTCTTTGTATTAGATCAATGTTTGCACAAGGACTTGTAAGTACCGTCAGGGAAAGCGGTAATTTTTTTTTAGGATTTGTTGGAAATGGCAGATTTTGGATGTGGAGTGACATAAATATTATTTTGATAATTACTTATCGATGTGTACTTAAAAATGATATTTATACATTCATAAGAAGGGAAGCTTATGATTTACCTAAGAAATATTGTAATTTTAATACAGATTTCTAGTAGTAATAGAGTAACAAGGTAATAAAAGTAGCAGTTGCAGGCTAGTAAGATTTGTTAGTTATATTTAATGCTAAAAACTGTCTTGCCTACAATAACTAGCATGTACATAATGCATACCTGTAGACTAGTAATAGTCCATTCAGCTGCATATAATACAGATCGTTGTGTACATTTTAATCGGTAAACATAAAACAGTAAGCCACTAAGCTTAGTCTAAACACATTGATATCACATCTATTTATGAACTTTTCACTGTAGTTTAGGTCTGTCATAACATTATAGTAGGCCACAATCATAATAGTCATTACTAGTTTTCAGAATATTTGTTTATGCGGCTGATTGTATTAATTATTGGAAGCTTCCAGCAAAAGCAGATTCAGTCCAGCAACTGTTGCCAGACCAGAAAAGAATGTGTCACTAAGGAATAAGGGAGTAGGTCATAACGGCACATTTAGTTGTGTTTGGCACAATCAGAACAACGTGTAACATGTGTTCCAATGGAAAATCTAGTAAGAATTGTACTCAAAATACTTTTCTGCTGTGTTTATGTGTGAAAATTACAAAAAAGGATTGTTATAATGATTACCATGTTGTTAGTTATTAAATTGTATCGTTTGTTCCTGTATTATAATTTTTTTTTTTTTTTTTTGGAAAAAAATGTCCTACATTCCTGACAGTACTTGTAAGTACCAATATATGTTAGGGACATTAAAAATTAACGAAACTAAACTTTCTTCGACATATGCTTTAAGTGTACCAAAAGTAATATGATAACACATTTTTAACAAAAAATTTCATTCGGAACCTAATTCAGTAAATAAAAGGTAGCGTATAATACAATTCGGAAAAGAAAGCAAAATCAGAATATACTTACGACAAATAGCTTGCTATTACTAAGAACATGCAGATTAAAGCTGAAGCTGGTATATAAATCTTTTTAGTTGCTTCTAATATACTTTTCATTTTGTTTTTATTTTACAGTGGGTTTAAAACGAAGAAGTTGTGAAAGGGTAAAAAAGCACAAACAGGTAAAATTATTTTCAAGTGACACAGAAATCCAGGTTCGATTTAGAACTACTGCATCAAAACCGGTTTAAAATAAAGTTAGTCAAGCTTGGGTAAACGAGAAAAGCAGAAAGAGAGTAGGCGGCGCTTGGGATAATGACACTGCTGTCAATCTCCATGCCACTTTAAACTCTTCTTTGTTTACACGTTTATTTTTGTTTTGCTTAAATATGTGTTCTTACTAGAGATCATAAAATAGACTATTAAAATACACATTTATGTGAAAACATCATTACGTTTACAAAAAAGACGTATATATTGTAATTTAGAAAAACACACCTTAAATTTCAGAATACATTATTTACTTCTTTATTTTACAACAAACATGGCTTCCATGGAAAATTAGACCGTGTTGCACATTTCAAGTACACACATGATTTCGGCAACACTAAGTGCACATTTTTTTTTATTAGGTCCCAACACTCTTATCAATTTTCGATAATATAAGCTTGACAGTTCGTCTAGTTAGAGAATACAATGAATTTTTCTAGATCCATAGGTAAAACAGTAGACCCAACAAAAATTAATTAGTATATATATATATATATATATATATATATATATATTGCGCCCCGGTCCTTCCCATGTTCGCTATGGCGCCTACGTTCGTTTAAGTGAGCGCACAAGACCAAGAATAAGTTTGGGTACCAAAGTCGTTTACTAAGTTGAATCAGGCGGTTCCGCTGGCGCCTCAGCATGGTGCGATTTGGCGCCACGGGCTAGACTGTGAGCACTTTGCGGCGCCTCGACAGTGTGCAATGTGGCTTCCCGGGTTTCCGTTACCGTTCTGGCAACTACGTTCGTTTTAAACAGTGCAATAGAATAGAGATGGAATATTATAATCGTTACAAAATATAATCAGGGGCGTCCAGGGGCTTCCCGGAAGGGTGTAATTTGGCGCCCCGGGAGGTAGTGATTGGTGCCTCAGAGTATCCTGTGAGCAGTGGAATGCATACATTCATTTTAAAGAGTGCGTCACCCGGTGCCCAGGCAGGTTGTGATTTGGTGCATTACAGTATTGACAGAGTGGCTCACACAAGTTATGATTAAAGCTACCGAACCATGGGCCGTAGGCCTACGCGGCGCTGCTGCGGTAATGTAACCGGGGGCTCCACACACCGCTCCACTACGTCCATGCCACCCGGCGGTCGCCGTAGTGTGTTCTATAGGGTGTTCTATTACGAAGAGTGATTAAGGTACACGATAGCCGCTTTTATTCCACATGCCATGGGGTGTGCTTGGCAGTAATGTGGGCAAACCTGTGCCTCGACTAATATTCAATAAATATAGCTCAGACATTGTTCACATTTAAAAAAAAAACAACCTTTAGAAAACAAGATCACACGTCTAAGAATATATGATTGGTAACGCATTGACGAAACCCTCATAAAATATTACGTCAGAATTTCTTTTGAGACGGGCGCGCTATTAATATATATATATATATATATATATATATATATATATATATATATATATATATATATATATATATATATATATATATATATTCTTTTCTCGACTCGGCCAATCCTAATATACCTGCAAACGCCTCTGACAAGTATATAAAAACTTCAGCCATAAAGAAAAATGAAGGCGATTTAGAAGAACGTATGTGTGTATAATTATTTATCCACTAGAAATCTATACATATAAATTTAGTGTTCATTTTTTGTTTAGGGCGTCAGTGCAGAGGCGTAGCAAGGAAGTGGGGGAGGGGGGCGAAAAGGGGTGGGAATATTGAAAAGCTGATTTTATGCTGCAGTTTTTAATTATAAACAGTCTAAGTTAAGAAATTTAATAGCTACAAGCCTTTACATACTGATTTAACTGTTTTCTACCTTGATTGGGTAAATGTACACCCTTAAGAAACAGTGAACGGCATAAACCGCATTCCAGCTTTTCCTTGAAGGAGGGTGGGGGTGTTTTGGGAGTTTTTTCTCCTTCTAAAATCAGAAGAATTTACAATAGATTGGTGAGTTGATATACTTTACCATTTATAAAAGAAAACATTGACTTAAAGCGTGTTGTATGATTTTAAATGTACCGATAAGCCAAACCAAAAGTAGTTAGAAGCAAAAAACAAGTTTAAAAACATAAAAAATAATTGAGATTCTTTATAAACCATTTTAGTCGTCTTTCAATAGGCCTATTTGATATAAATCTTTGCGTTTTAGCTTAACATCTTATATATAAAGCTCAATTCTGTATGTAAAAAATAAATATGTTTGTCGTTGACATACTTGGATGGATTAAAGTGTTAGATAATAAAAGTCCTTATGGTCTAAATTTATGAGTAAAAAAATTAATATTGAAAGTTTTGGGAAATAATTTTCATTTATCAAACTGAAAGTAATAATTTTGGGCATGTTCATTAAACACAAGTTTAAAAAAAATATCATCTTTAACAAAAATTCTAATTATGTCTTTATTTAGTCCTATAGCACTTACTTCCCTTTGATAAATTAGGAAAACACAATTACTTACCTTTATAAAACCATCGCATTAGTGGAAAAGAATTTAGTTTTTATTACTTTGTTTTGGTGTT